TATCTCAAAGCATGGTGGGTAGACCACTTGTGCATCCAAGTCCTTTGTTAAAGTGCAGGTTTCCAGGCATGTTCCAGGCACACATATGAAAAACTCTGAGCATGAGCTCCTCATGCACTGTCAACACTGAAAACCACTGTTGGTTTTTAGGAGAATGTTGAGGGCTCTCTTACCCTCCTGCTTCTACAAGCATGTATGTGTGACCATAAAGTGCACTGACTTGTCAGGGCCATGGGATTATTTCATTGAATAAAGCAATGAGGTTTAAATCTTTTATAGTCTCTCTCTTGCATCCACAGTTGGCTTGCTCTCATCAGACTTCCTTTCCGTTAGAATTGCTGTCTGGTTCTGCTCTTGGCCTCTCTATTGGGGCATGGTAAGATGAACTTAGTGCCTTTGTGCTTAGGAGCAAACACAACTTTTGCCTTCCAAATAGGCAAGAGAGGCAAGGAGATATAATTTAGCCACTCAAGATCTCTCCCACTCTACCCCAACGGGTTCCTTGCAGTTCATATATTATGGTACCATTAACTTCCCAGGGGCTCAAGCAATACTTCTCAAGTGTGATCCATGTCTCTGAGCAGCTAGATTAACATGCTGATTCCTGAGTCTCATGTAAAACCCGCTGAATAAATGAGAATCTCTGGCAAACAGACTTGTGAAGCTGTACGTTTAGCAAGCTCCCCAGGTGGTTCTTATGCACAGGAAGTTTGAGAACTACTGAGCCACAGATTTAACAAAGAGAATACCCTCTCTAAAGCTCCTTCAGCAAAGTCACAGGAACCAAGGGAAGTCGTTGGCTAACATTCTGGGTCCTCACATCTCTCTCTTCACTCCCATACTGGAACAACTTAAGCAATTCAGCACAGGCCCATTTAAAATGACCACACAAACATCCAGAAGTGGAACAGCTGGATCACATGGCAGTTCTATTCTTAATTTTTTTGCGGAATCTCCAAACTGTTTTCCATAGTGGCTGCACCTATTTACATTCCTATCAACAATGTGTAAGAGTTCCCTTTTCTCCATATCCTCTCCAACACATTTCTTGTCTTTTTGATAACAGCCATTCTAAGAGGCGTGATGTGATATCTTATTGTGGTTTCGATTTGCATTTCCCTAATAATTAATGGGATGTTGCACATAATTTCATGTGCCTGTCGGCCATCTGTATGCCTTCTTCGGAGAAATGTCTACCTGGATCTTCTATATATTTTTTAACCAGGTTGTTTGGTTTTTTTGGTTGTTGAGTTGTACAAGTTCTTTATATGTTTCAGATATTAACCCCTTATTGGATGTATGATTTGCAAGTATCTTCTTCTGGATATTTATCTGAAGAATATGAAAACACTAATTCAAAGAGATTTATGCACCTCTATGTTCATCACATTATTTACAAGTCAAGATATGGAAACAACTTAAGTATCCATTAATGGATATATGAATAAAGAAAATACATACACACACATACACACACACACACACACACACACACACACACACACACAATGGGAATACTACTTAGTCATAAAAAAGATGAAATCTTGCCATGCAACACATGGATGGACCTTGAGGGTAGTATGCTAAACAAAGTAAGTCAGATGGAGAAGACAAATATCATATGATTTCATTAATATTTAGAATACTAAAAATAAATAAACAAACTAATAAGCAAAACCAAACAACAACAAACACATAGATACAACACACCGATACAGAGAACAGGTTAATGATTACCAGAGGGAAGGGCAAAATGGGTAAAGGGGATTAACTGTATGCTGACAGATGGAAACTAAACTTTTGGTGGCAAGTATGCTGTTGTGTATACAGAAATTAAAATATAATATTGTATGCATGAAACAATATAACCCAATGTTACCTCAATTTAAAAAATATTCACTGAAAACAAAAACAAAATTACCACATATTCTGTTTTACTATAGCTCAAAATAATCAGCTATTAGGACAAAAAGAAGTGAGAAATACTTAAAGTCTAACTGTATCTCACTAGCAGAGTCCTGAATATCATAAAAACACAGATGAGTTTCATGCCCAGAAAGCTTACAATTATATGTCATATTACTTCTATTTTAAATCAATCCTACAGCATAATAGGGAACACCTCTCAGTGGAGTTCTAAGCTTCTCATATCCTTTTTATGCTTTCATACACAGCTTATCGGTTTCCTCTTCAAGGCTGGATGATATTGCTAACCAACACGCAGCAAAGAAGATTCTAAAACAGCAGGACAATTTTACGCTTGACTCAGGTAATCATGGCTCTCTTGAGGGAAATCTACTCTTTAGGCTCACCTCTCCTCTGTTTCTGCCAGCCACAAGCCCCCCCGGAGGAACTTAAGGCTCTTATACACTCGATTACACTCCACTGATTTATAGTGCCAAACAGGCATTCACATGAGGGCTCTCCATAAACATTACTGGATTATGCCAACTCAGGTGATTGATTCTGGACCTCTTAATGTGCCACCACTCTAACGACAAATCTTACCTATCCAAGATGATTTCAGCTTCTCATACTAGGCTCCCTATCCACACCTCGCACCTACTGTCTTCTGAAAACAAGACTGCAGCTAGAAGAACCAACTGGAGATAATGAACTATAAATAGAAAAACAGGTAAAACATTACAGGTAACTGAAAGTCTAACACACATAATGAGCACAATCAGTATGAAAATGACAGTAACTCTAATTCTCTTCCTGACAGAAAATTTCCTTTTGCCATCATCAAAACTAGTGCTTCTTAACCTTTAAGGTATCTATGAATTATCTGGAAAATCTTACTACAACGCAGGCTCTGATTCAGGTAATCTGAGACGGAGGCCGAGATTCTGCATCCCTAACAAGCTCCCAGGTGCTGCTAACGCTGCTCATTGCTCTGCTACTTACAGTATGGAGGGGGAACAGCAGCATTAGCATCACCTGGGAGCTTGTTAGACAAGAATCTTGAGCCCATCTTAGACCTAAGGAAAAAGAATCTGCCGTTCAGCAAGGTCCTACGTGATCAGAACGCACAGCAGAGAGCAGCTCAAATACCATCTTGTACTCACTGTCAGTCAGAAGCACCTGGGACTTTTCTGAAACTATAAATGCATAGGCCTCATGGCAGAGAATCTGATTCAGTTGCTTTCGGGTATTTTTATTGTTCCTATGTTTGTTTGTTTTTAAGTACATCCAGGTGGTTCTTATTAAGGAGCAGCCAGCGTTGAGAACCACCGAATTAAAACGACCGAACTGGGTGGAGGGAAATATTGAGCAACGGCTAATCGGTGAGGAATTTGAGGGGATGATGAAAATGTCTGAAAACTGATCATGGCATTGGTTGCGTGATTCTGTGAATACACTAAAACCCACTGAATTGTATACTTTAAATCGGTCAGTAATAATGGTAGGTGAATTATATCACAATACAACTGATATATAAAAATCAAATTAAAAACGTCAATAGCTTTCCTATTTTAAAATAAGTAAATAACTCCCACTGAACAACAATGAAGTGGAATTATTTCCTATCCTGGAACTCTGGCCCAAGACGTTCAACTTCTCTCAAGAAAAGAGAAGAAAGATGCTTATGTAACTCATCTAGAAATATTAAGTTCTGCTCATCCACTCCTTAGGTTCAATTCTGGTGAATTCTAATGCATGTTAAAAAAAAATCATATTTATCAATATGAAAAAGTTTACCCTGCATACCCCAAGTTTCCATAGTATTTTCAAGTAAATAATTTTCCTTTTGCTTCCCAGTTTAAAATTAATGATTTAACTAGTAGGTTAACAATGAATTAACTAATCCATTGCAATATTCTTCCATCTTCTCTGTATTTTTGAAAGCATTAAAAAAACACATTAAGAAAAAAACATACAAAATGCAAATCTGAGCTTGTTTTCAAAAAACTGTCTCAATAATGTGCCCATAAAAATAAAGGATGTGGTAAATGGCACTAAAATTTCAGGAAAGATCACTGTCATATATGAGACAGTTCACTTATTATCAGAAGGAAAGTACTTTAAATATATGTAAGTAATAGGTACCATGTAGAACTTTGGATAGACAGCTTCTCTCCACAGCTTCAAAGCTTCTGATAGCTGTGGTGTCAGATGCTCAAAACTGCAGGTCCTGTCTGCTCAAGCCAATGATGGTTCACAAGTATGATTAATTTCCCTATTGGATCGCCATTTTCCACATAAGCCATTTTCCCCCAGAACCAGTGCTCTTGTTTATGGTCCCATGGTCTCATTGTTTCAAAGAAGGGGTATGCTGGATGCATCACTTAACAGAGTTCCTAGGACAATATACACTGGTTACATGGAAAATCGTGGGATCTTCAGCTCATGTAGTGAGAGCTCTTCTCTTAAAAAATGACCTTCTGGGAACTTCAAGGCAATGGCTAAGGCCACCTTCACAGGTAAGTACAATGCCCTTCCTTGTCTAAACTCTCCCATAAAATCCAGTGCATTTCACCACAATTGTTGCTGTGTCTACTTCCTTTTTAAAATAATTCTACCATGTTACATTCTATAGATGACAAAAAAAAAAAAGGCAAATCAATGCCCCTAATTACTGACCTTGCCCTGGATAATAACCCTTGGATAGTCTCCTATTACTTTTTGTAGTGAGGAAGTTTACCCTCTTCCCCACCTAACCCCCTCCTGCTTTAAGTACTTTTGTTCAATGAGCTCTTCAGTTTTCACAGTGTTGAGAAGATGGTTCTATATCCCAGAGTAAAAAATGTAACTTGAATTTTGGCTAAATGATTCCAATTCGAAGGAAGAAATCCCGAAGCTACGTTGGTGATTCTCAGCATGTTGTCAACTCTATCTCAATCCTGAGTCTTTGAAATACTAACTTCCTGAGAAGCCAAGATTCACAGTTACTGTTGAATTAAATAACTAATTCTTAATGGATCAGCATGTCTTAATTCATCACTTAGTTAACAATTCACCAATAAACAATTTTTTTAAAGAAAGGAGAAAAGACATACCTAATGTTATATATGTCCTGAATATTCTTCTCCCCACCGTGTCCTTCCTTAAAAGCTTGCATTTGTAATAATTTCATAATGGCTTTTATCAAGCCATGTGTATTCCTGTAAAGAAATATAACATGTTAAGTGCTACAGAGTAAATATTCTCATGAGGTACTTAATCCCACCAGTTTTAAATAGTTGAACGCTTGCCACCTACATTGAACGGCAGCCATCCACATACACCCAGCTTATTCCACAGCACAGCCAAGAAGAGGCCAACAGGCTCCCATTCAACACATTTAAAGGAGGAGAAGTGGAGCCGAAGGATCAAACCACCAACCTATCAATCACCTCCCCACGTACACTTGGGGGAAAATCAATCAGGAAAAAATAAACATCAGCCCACATAATTGCAGGCAGTGACCACATCAGTTACCCACACTGAATAATCAAGTCCTTCATTTATAAATATTAGCAGACCATGAATAATAACCAGACATATGAAAAGGAGCAGTCACTCAAAAAAGTGGGCCAGGGGACCAATCAGAGGAAATAACCCCCATTAAAGCAAAGCTAATGGGAGTGGGGAATAGAACTTTAAGTTTTTTCCTTATTCTCTTTAAGAGGTAGCAGGATAATAAATCAAAAAGAATGTCTTCCCCTTTTAATATTTTTTCCTGTTATTAATTTTTTTAATTGTGAAATAAGATTTTATTCCATCTTTACTGAGGTAAAATTAACAGATACAATTGTAATATACAGAGTACAAGTGATCTGTGCGTACATGGCAAAATGGTGGCCATAATCAAGTTAATCAACACATCCATCACGTCAATGTAGTTACTTTTATTTTTTTGGTGAGAATGCTAAATACTCTCTTAACAAATTTCAAGTATACAATACAGTATTGTTGAGTATAGTCACCATGCTGTACAGTAGACCCTCAGAATTTACTCATCTTATAACTGGAAGTTTTTATCTTCTGACCAACCTCTCCCCACTTCTCCTACCCAGCCCCTGACAACCACCATTCTACTTGTTCCTAACTGTTCAACTTTTTTGTTTTTTTGATTCCACACATACATGGTGCCACCCAGGATTTATATTTCTCTGAGTTATTTCATTTATTAGCATAATGCCCTCCAAGTACACCCATGTTGTCACATATTAGCTGGCTCTCTTTCAATAAGATTCTCCCTGGGAATGAGAAAGAAATCTCAGAAATAAAGACTACTAGTTAAATGAAAAAAAGTAATTATTTTTTAAATCATGACTGTTAATATTTATGGAGCATCTATGGTAAGCTAAGTACTTTCCTAAGTGCTTAACGTGCTTTATGTCTTTACTATCTAGAATTCACTGTTAACTTTACCTTTAGGCCAGGACAAGACCTGATGATGATACTAACTGATATCACTTGGGATATGTCATTTATTGTACTCTTTTATCACATTTAAAGTTTCACAACCGATAAAAGGTTTGGCTACACTGTCCAATGCAGCTGCCAACAGCCACATGTGGCTGAGCGCTCATAACATGGCCAATCCACACTGGGATGTGCTGTAAGTGCAAAATACATGCTGCATATAAAAGACTTAAAACGCAAAAAAAGAATGTCAAATATCATGTGTAATTTTTATATTGATTGCATATTGACATAGTATTTTTGACATATGGGGTTACATAAAATACATGATTAAAGTTAACATAACCCATTTCTGTTTACTTTTTAATGTGGCTACTAGAAAATTTTGAATGATACACATGGCTCACATTTGTGGCTCACAGTTTATTTCTATTTCACAGCGCTACTGGAGACACTCATGGTTTGCTTCCGAAGTGGATTCTTTGGTGAGCAGTGAGGTTTCCCCTGCACTTGAAGCATTTCCCATAATCTGTACAACAGTACGTTTTCTCTTTCACATGGGTCCTCTTGTGACCATGCAACAGAGACTCACGAATGAATGTTTTGTGAAAGGTATCACACATACATGGTTTCTCTCCTGTGCGGATCCTCTAGTGAAAACAGATGTCGCAACGCTACATGAAGCCGTTTCCCTAAGATTCTCTCCTGTATGTGTTCTCCGCGGATGTCAAACAGAGCTTCAGCTTTTCTCACAAACCCCAGTGTCTCAGCATTATGCTGGCTGAGTGGGAAGCCAACCCCCTCATCTGTCCTGTGTGTACAAAGTACAACCTAAGAATAACAAGCAGTGTGGCATGTGTCAGTGTCGCCTGCAGATCCCATCTCATTCTCCAGAGCTGACAGAGCAAAAGCCTGGCGCCTGTTTAGAAGACAGGGAATGAGCACAGTGCACCTTGCTGCCACACAGCGGAATTTTCAGTCACTTAAGGGACAGAAGAAAAGCCCAGTCTTCTCGTGAGCTGTCTAGCTTGTGATACTTGGGCTAAGAACCTCTAAAGCCAGCCTTGACACACACACAATACTGGGTTGGATACTCTTCCATTTTGAGAAAGGGCCTTGTATGTACAAACCTTTTACTTACAACTTATAACTTATTGTGTATTAATATTTTTCAAATATCAAAAGTGTCAATTCCGCTTTGCTTTCACCAACAATGTGGATAGTTAATTCCACTATGACTCAATAAAAATTAAAAAGGAAATTTTTTAAAAAATTGGAATGAAGTGCAGTTGATTTAGGAAGGTCTGGTGGCATGGCATCTCTTTGGGAACAGAGGTACTGTCTTGCTTTCTTCCTTCAAGACTGTTCAGTCTTCCGGTGACTTCATTGAATTCTGGGTTCCTAGAATCCTTTTCTTGTAAAGCTTAAGAAGATATCTCAACAGGCAAACTTTTAGAATAAATTCCTTCTTTGCAATTCTTTACACTATGCACTTTTTGAGAACCATTCCGTGGCTGAGGATTCTTGACTCTCAGGAATGGTATCTCCCAGTGGACCCTCCAGCTCTTTACCACTCTTCACACTTTCCTTTACAGAGACCTGGAGATCCTTCAGCATGGAAATCATAACTGCTCTAACACCAGTTTATCAAGAACCTATTCCTGAGCATGAATGTTGGACCTCAGTCACAGACAACAGAGCTTACAGGGGCTTCTCAAAGCTTCAGTGTGATTTGACTCCTCCAAATATGTAAATTTGCTAAAGCTAACTCATCCGGCCTCAGTGTTGCAGTCTTGCTTTTGGAAAGTTAGTCCTTGGGACGACACAAACGCCTGTGGCTCTGGCCTGGGCCTGTGCCCAAATTTCATACAAGACCATGCAATCTCAGGTATGAAGCTATACTTAACAGATGAATTCTAATCATCACTGAGCCAGTGAGCAGCTCTCAGATTCCAGTGTTTGACTGAGATCCTATCATAAGGGGCCTACTCTGGTTTGATTTGGTGAGAGGGTCATTACATGTTCAGAAGTTTCTTGGTCTTCTCAATTTCAATATTTATTCAATCCTGCCCCCCAAAAAAATTAAGAGTAGTGTATGAAGACAAATTATTTTTCAGACATAATATCTGAAAAATTTTCTTAAAGAGGTTCTCCAGTTAAAAGAGAATGCAAGATGGCTGCACATCTTCATATATATACTAAAAACCAGAATCATACACTTTGAAAGAGTGATTTTAATATGTGAATTATATCTCAATAAAGTTGTTATATTTTAAGATAAAGCACAAGAAAGAATTGAAGAGATAGAAAGAGGCAGACTACAAAGAACTGTGATCAGAATGAATATCAGAAGAATTTACAATCAAGTCTTCAACATTTTTCAAAAGTAACTATAAAGATTAAAGCAATTGTTGAGAGGATTTGGAGGGAAAAAGTGTGAAAAAGAGGGAAAAAAAGACAATCTGTCATAAAAATTCCAAATCACATTAGCAAAGTTAGTGGGGAAGGTTTTCATGGGAAAGAAAACATACAATTAAGAGACAACCTGAGATGAAATATCTACAACATAGATGAAAAGGGGTTAATATCCATAAAATAAAAAAGCAACATTTTGTTAATAAGGCAAAGCATATAATAGAAAAATGAGCAGAGAATATAGGCATGCAGATCAGAGAAGAGCAAGATTCATAATACCCAGTGTTGACGAGTGAATGAGGAATAAGCATTCTCACGTTGAGCATACATTCACTTAGCCTTTATGGAGGGCAGTTCGGCAGTATCCATAAAATTTTTAAATGCACAGTCTTTTTCCCATAAATTCCACTTCAAAGAACCCATCATATAGAAATACCTTTACATATGCCCAAAAGAAGATATCACAATGCATCTGTTGTCTTTAAAAAATGGAAGAAAAAACCTACAATTGTCAATAGAGAAATAGTTAAAATATGATACAATCATATTATAGAATGTAGATATTAATGAAGATGCAGGCAGATCTACGGAAAGATGTCCAACACATATTAAGTGGGAAAAAGCAAGTTTTAGAACAAGATACATATGAATAGACGATCCAATTTTAAAACACTTGTAGTGTATGAGCTTATAAATACTTTTTTTTACACATTGAGAAATGGGGCTCCAATTTCATTGGAATTAGCTGGTCCCTAATTCCATGTGCCTAGTTCTAATTTCAGATCACCCTAGCTTGCTCCATATTCCAGAGGGAATCAAGACCAGTATTTGGAGGAACCTCTGAGACACCCTACTGGCCCTAAGCCCATCCAGGATTGTCACTTCCTAGTTTTCATGAGGGCCCGATAAGAAAGTGAATGTTTTGAAAAGAAGGAAAGAAAGACCAAATGGCAAAAAGGAAACATTTTACCACTTACTATTTTCACTACCCTCAAGTCCCATTGTTTGAGTTTTCAAAAAAGTATGCACTACTTTTATTTTTTTCATTAGTGAAAAATAGGGGTAAAAAGATTTGCAGTCTCAAGGTGAGGAAGGACTCACTGAACACAAATAGAAGACTAAACCTGATCGCCTAGACAGATGGCGTGAGCAGAAATTTAAATAAACAATGAAATAACTACAGTGTCTTTTATTTAAACCTGTCTTCAGTCACAGTCTAGTACAAATATAAAAACATGTTAATTTGAGGAAGTAAACTGCTGAGAAACATTTTCAGGATCCGGAATTAGCCCCTGACAAGCAGGCTGTCTGTGTTTGAGGTACACAGGTACCCAGTAAG